CAGACATTGGCAAACTATGTCTATTTTGATCAAGACATGTGGTAGATAATGGTAAAGTATGTCCATTTTGATCAAGACATGTGGCAGACATTGGCAAACTATGTCTATTTTGATCAAGACATGTCATAGGAAATTATTTTCTTTTTTAGTCCAACAAACAAATGATAGCAAAATACATAAAACATACAAATTTTCCAAGAAAACTATGTCTGAATGAAAGGGGTTATTTAAAGGTTATTAAATTATTTCTCATGTGCATTACAATACAAAAGAGTAACAGTATTTTAATATGTGAATATATCAGTGGTACCACAATAGAGTGGTGACATACCATAACATCAATACTTCATCTATATGGCAACCAACAACATTATTTACAAAGTAAACTAGAGGTCACCGGGGTGTCTCACTACATGTATATACTTATTGTATGTATACTAACTGTTCACCACTGATTAAACCAACAAATAATGTTACACCAATTGAATATACATTTTACAATACCATTCTTGAAATCATTTTCTAATCTGATATTTGGAGTTATTAGGGTGCAAACTGAAGAAATTTTAACAATATTATATATAGTTGAATTTTATACTGAGTTACAATGTTTGTCAAGTCAGTGCAGAAATAAACACACTAAACTGTCAAAACAGTGCTCCTTATTTTAACAACCAATTAAAAGTGTGATAAAACTACTAGCAAATGAAAGTATGATAAAAAATACTAGCAAATAATAAAAGAGTGAAATGTTTTTTATTGTTTTTTTTTCAAAACATTATAAAACAAAATAAATTTGCATATGGTGGATGGCCCTTAGATATTACAGCAGGCAGAATGAATAAATTTAGGATTATTCAGGACATAATCTTGTCATAGTTTAACAAATTAAGAACAAGTCATTGTAGGCGACATAGTTCTGTTTTATTGCACATCTATGTGGCTGAATTGATCAACATCTGACGTCACATTTGTCAATATTGGTCTATGGGCATTCATTGCTTTTTTTTCACAGGAAACCGCAGTAGAACCTGTAGGTAAAACCACAGTAGAACCTGTAGGTAAAACCACAGTGGAACCTGTAGGTAAAACCACAGTGGAACCTGTAGGTAAAACCACAGTAGAACCTGTAGGTAAAACCACAGTGGAACCTGTAGGTAAAACCACAGTG